GCATAAATCCAGTCTTAAAAGCATCTAACATTTGACAAGACATGGATCCTGCCAAGGATTTAAAATGTAACCGGTGTGATTTTGTCCCTGAAAACACACATTCAATTTTAAAACACATTTGTTAATAACAAAGACCAGTAATAATTTCAAATGCGCCTGGTATTAATTACAACCCCTTAAATCCCGTTATTTTCTAAGGAAATAATCACGCGCCAGTGAAATGCCGGAAATGTCAACTCAGTTCGCACATGATCGGTATTCTCCACTTGCACCTCTGCTCTGTTGCACCGTGACTCCCTTCGGTGACTCGGCACTGTGTAATCGCAAGCGCGCTAGAATTTGAATTTGCGTTGAACTGTATTATAGGGAAAGAGGTAAATCTACGAGTAAAAATATACTCGTGGGCCCACTTAGATTGCACCGTTTCGTAAAATTTTTTTCGCGTAGTCAGCAGGAAACGTGGAAATAAACAAAACAAACGCGTGCACGTTGACGCGTTAAAGCAAATTCAAGCGCTTGCGGTCGGACGTTGTTGAGGGATTAATTTTAAATGTAAGTGTATAGGATAAAAAATATTGTGTGCACCACGGCACGAAAGTTGTTTTCCGGGCCTCAGGAAGTGGCCAGCCTCGGCTGCGCCTCGCCTGGCCATATCTTCCTTCGCCCCGGAAAACAACCACTTTCCCGCCTTGGTACACAAAGTACTATTGTTTTCCTCTAGGTGGGAATGATATTATGTATAGCTGGTCCATTAGACGGGAGGAGCTGTACAATATGAGAGTTGAAGATACTGAGGAACGTGACGCCTTAATCATTGTGAAAGTTCCTCAAACGAAGACATACCTATTCAGCGATCCTTCCTTGTTATTGCCCAACCAAACTTGAATATATAAATCTACATAACAAAAAAACCTTCGTCCGAAAATTTCAAAATCGTCTCATTTCTTCTTAAATTATCGCAATGGGAAATGTACAAATACGTTGTATCTACCTATTTCTTACTTAGTTATTGTAATAATGGATTAATCTTGATTAAAATTACTTACCGTTCTAGAACACCAAAACACTTACCGTCGAGTTTATCGTTAGCAACCAGTAAACGTCACGTACTGTCTTAGAAACAGACATGCTAATAGTACATTATATATCAAGGTAGAGAAGTCCACTATTATTGCCTGAGCACCAAGATTACATCTCGAGGCGCTTGCGCCGAGGGGTGTAAGGTGCGAAGGCAATAATAGACTTCTCTACCGTGGTATATATACTATTTTTTCACTACTAGCACTTGAAATCCTCTAAATTAACATATTATATTGATAAGAGAGTTAACGGTTGGACAGAATTGTTTGTTTCTTAATTTAACATGTCAATCAAGTACGTGGAAGTACAAGTCAAACAGGCCGTATTTTGTTCTGTCATTGAGATTTTTCAAAGAGTAATTTCGTTCGAATTTTTTCAAAATGTGATAATTTTAGGTATGTAATTTCTCCGGAAATTGCGAATGGTGGCAATTATTCGTTTTAGAGAACTTATCTAAACGTTCATTGAGCGAAATTTCGGGTTGTGTTTTCTAAAAGTGACAGCGTGACAGTTCTCATTATTGACTACTAGTTAATAATAAAAAATTATTAACCACTTTGAACAAATGCCGAGAAAGCCTACTTTACAAGTGGAAAAAAGGTTAATAATCATGTCATCAGACGCTAGTAGTGAAAAAACAATATAATGGAGCTCAATCGCGCAAAAAAATATTTATGGTTTTTGACAAATTTAGTTGGATTTTGGTGATTAAAATTATATATTTCAAAGATAAAAATGCTGGTTATTTTGGATAAATAAGATAGTGAACTTGGAATCGATAGCTCCGGTAACTGGTACGCGAGCTGAACCTTTTGTTGTATATATTCATTTACACAGAACTTTACAGGTACTATTTATTTCACAAACATATACATTATTTACAACACCTTTTAATACAAATTGAGCACTACTAACTTTTTGGAAAGATCTTTGAGTCGACCTACTTCGATTGTAGGCGAAATGTGACTAACTTGAGAACTTAAAAATGGACTAATTAACACCCTAACACTAAGAACATTTATTGCACCCATATGGACTGCAATACTAGCGCAAAGGACCGCATGCAAGCGGCTCCTTTGCCTAGTCACGTATTATACAGTGTGTAAAGCGATGGGGTATACAAGAGGGAATTTTTTAAAATATTGATTTATGAAAAAAATTCATTCTTCATGATATTTTTTGCTTGCTTTGAAAGTACCAATAATACTTTTCGATTGTTTGCGGTTTGATAGCAATACGCTATCTTCATTATAATGTAGAATGATAACTTTCAATAAAAAAAATTAATTTTATTATTTTTCCAAATTTCTATAAATAAATTTTAGATTATCGAAACGTTATTGGTACTTTCAAAGCAAGCAAAAAATATCATGAAGAATACATTTTTTTCATAAATCAATATTAAAAAAAATTCCCTCTTGTATACCCCATCGCTTTACACGCACTGTATAATTTAAAAATTAGGGTGACAAGCGAAAACAGAAAGAAAACGGAAGTGATAAATTGAAGTAAGCATTCTAACAGTTCTGAAACAAAAAAATAAATGGAACTTATTTTAACTTAACAGAAATACTTATAAATTAATAATATAAAAACCGGCGGCGTCTAAATTGACAACACTGTTTAAGGTTAATATCTTGTGCCCTTGAAGAACTTCCGGCAGGATTGCATACTGAACATGCCAGCTATGATTCGAATGATCTTTTTTTACGCTATAAATATTTCCGAGGCCATAGTTGACGCTCCCCAAAAGCCAAGCGAAAAGCATAATACACCATTACTTATACGAGAAGGAACCAGAGCATGGTAGATATTAATAAGTTAAGTTGTATTTAATATAGATCGAAAATGTCTAAATGCATAATTTAATGAATTCAATTTGGCTAGGACATCTATACAATGATCTTTCCAAGTTAAAGAATCATAGGTAGTTACTCTCAAAAATTTGTTAGTATCAGATTTGATCAACTGGTTATTATTTGTTTGCGGAGCGTGAATCCAGCAATCGGTTTTGGATCTTTTTTAACAATATACGCAAGAACGAAAATAATGTTTTGAATATTTCGGACGCCAACTTCGACGCTACTTCCAATGCGTAAACCGGAAATTACGTTGGCAACACGTAAATTTTTTATTACGGGATGGCTCCCTCTCGTCTTCGGCATTGTTTCAACCTAAGGATAAATGTCACCCTTTATAGTTTACACAACAATATCAAAACAATTTTGGAAAGTAGTCAATGCGTTGAGCTACTTATAGGCTATAGCGCGTTTTTGTGCGACGGATTGAGGTCTTACCTATTACAAACAATAGGTACACACGCGCTAAAAACATACAGGGTGGTGCCTAGCGCAACGCAGCATAGGGATTTCAATGGTAATTTCTTTATAGTAAATTACTAGCTCCCCTAATTATTTTAGAGCAAAAGTCTAAATATGTTTCTTTTAGAGAAAAAAATACTGCATCTGTTCATACTTTTAGTTATAATTTTCTATTTTTCAAAACCGTAGAAATCGAGAAAATAAAAAATTACGTTTTTATAAATCAGTGATGCTTTGGAATCTTTTAACAAACTGCAAGCGCATCGCATCTAAGTTATCGTTGTTTGACGTCGAACGATTTCCATATTTAATTCTGTTTCAACTAACCGACGCAATAAAAGGCATCTTAGGGTAATGTTTTTTTAGAGAATGTATGCTGCATCTGCATCACATACTATTTGTTTATCATTTTTCGGAATCAGAGTACCTACATAATCGAAGAAAAAAAACTGATTTGAAGAAGGTTTGTTCCTAAACTTATATTCCGATTTTCCGCTAGGTACTGCAGCCAAAACGTTGAATGTATATTGTCGTTTTGCTGATGGTTTTGACGGACATTTTGAACGTTATTGCACTTGCAGTTCTTTAACTAATTTATTAACAAGTATAAATTTAATATACGTCAAAGGCAAATAATGAAACGTGATCGCTGTTTTTTTAGGTAATTCTAAGGCATATTTGATTTATTGTAAAATGAACCTTTTTATTTTGTCGATTTCTACGGTTTTGAAAAACGGAAAATTATGAGTAATAGCATGAACAGATTCAGTATTTTTTTCTCAAAAAAAAACTTATTTAGACTTTTGCTCTAAAATAATTAGGGGAGCTAGTAATTGACTATAAAGAAATTACCATTGAAATCCCTATGCTGCGTCGCGCTAGGCACCACCCGGTATAACATCACGCATTATCAAAGTCCCCATTTAGCTTGTTCAATAACACTTACCTACATTAGAATTCCCACTTACCTACTTGCTTTATAGAATATTCCCTTTTTTTTCATCTGCGCAAGTTATACCAATATTTTGTCCTTTTATTGGATGTATCATCTGTTAGACAATAAGTAGATATATTATTATTATCAGACATACTTACTTGGGACACTTATAATTGTTGGAGCTATTTACCCGCTAAAAGTTATTGCGTTTCGTCATCCTTTTCATGGCTAGGTAGGTAGAAGTACTATTATTTAGGTCTTCATCCTGAACGAATAATCAGCTTTCTTTACCAAAATATTTGGGTTTATGTGTAACATTCATTTAATGGGTTTTATGTTTTACTTGTATTATGCTACGGTTTTACTAACAAATTTGACGAACTGACCAGGAAAAAATGAACACCTTGATTTTTTTAGATCACCTTTCTCTTCTAAAAGCATTTTTAGCTAAATCTGTCCAGTATAGTAATTAGTACTAATTATTGAGTTTAGTCCATTAATCAATTAGTATCTTTTCATTTGCAATAATAATACATGATCCAGAAAACTATAAAAAAAAATTTAAAAATTAAATATTAGTCAGTAAGAAAGGTAGCAATAATAACTACAATCCATATTATAGCTGTTACTGCTTAATAAAAATTAAAGTATGCATATTTTAGATTGGAGTTGACGTTTGACAAAGCCGAGCAACGATCAATTAAGCTAGAACAAAGTTACAAACTTTTGGACACATGGAAACGCCGCAGTGACGACTTATTGTACTCAATGATACCAAAGACCGTTGCTGATAGGTTAAGGGGAGGTAACTCATCTCTCACCACATGCGAAGTAAGTTGTAAAGACTTTATTCTATAAACTAAGTTCTATATTGTAGTCGTTTGATTCCGTAACAATTATGTTCTGCGATTTGGTTGGTATTAATTCAACGACAGTAGAAGATGCTATGGACCTTGTATCCTCAATGAATGAGGTTTTTTCGTGTATCGACGAACTTATGGATAAATATCACGTTTACAAGGTAACTCCCTTTTAATACACTAGTTCCATAGACAATAACATAATTTTCGAATTTTGCCAATTCTGTTTTCATTATTAAGTTTATAATCACGCAAGGAAGAACTGATTACTTTTCAGTGACCCAGGAGCTCCTGTCCTTGTGTCCGTCTGTAACAAACATAGCAAAAGAGCTCCTGGGTCACCGAAAGTTTTATCAGTTCTTCCTTAATGATGGAGGTGATCGCTGAAACAACTGAAAACAAAATTGGAAAGTTCGAAACCGTTTACGAGTTAGCATGTGCACAAAAAGGAAGAGCTGATAAATTTTGTTGTGACACAGGAGCTCGTTTATTATATTTGTTACAACTATATTTAATTTTTAGGTCGAAACAGTGGGACAGATTTATATGGCAGCAAGTGGAGCCCCCGAGAGAACAAAAACTCATGCTGAAGATATGGCAGATTTGTCTTTGGATATGATACACAACATTAAATCCTTGCGAATGCCTTCTGGTGGACATGTTGAAGTAAGAATTGGTATGTGACTTGGTAGTTCGCTTTATTGTATGCTGGAAATTGCATTATTAATACCTGGTTTAATCAATAATGATTAAGTTCTAAGGTATTTATCATACCGTAGTATCTGCAGTGATGTTAAACTTACTCTAGACTAGAGTAGAGGCTATAACTTTTGTTTATACTCGTACGTTAAAGCCACTTTGGTCAACTGGTTTTTAAACCTAGAAAAGCTTTAGATACCATTACGTAATTCGCACTTTTAGATCTCTTTATTTGTGTAAAGGAATATGTGCCTCATTGCAAGAAATAAATGACAGGAACGTGTAATGGAATTAAAATCATTAATTAAATCGTGCCTTGAAAAAATTAGCAGTATGCAGTGCGTTCCAACAGAATTTGCTCCTATTTCTAAGTTTATTATTGCAGCTTCGAAATGGGTTCAATTAGCAAAATGAGACATTTTCATAATACTATAATAACGTCAAACCAGAAAAGTATCGGACTATCGAGAATAGGAAGTTTCCACTTTTTTGGTATATATCAATTTTGAAAATTTAAGTAAAGTGAATCAGTAATGCAAAAGAATATTAAAATACCTCCACAAATGAAAACAGGAGACTTTAAAGTTGTGCTTCGAAAAATAAATTCCGATTCATTACTGGGGTTGTAAGGTAGTAGCATGCTATATTTAATATTTATCGATGTTTACTTTCTTGGTAGATGATTAATGGTGAGGGGCCTCTTTACACATAAACGTCTCAAGGCCGCCTGGAATACATTTAAAATCTATATAGCTATATAATGCAAGAACATTTTCGAGATAATCACATTTAAGCTTTTACACCGCCAGTAGATGTCTATCGTCTAGACAATATTTCCGTCGCTTGAGAGTACCCTCCTCCGACACTCCGTTCGGCAGATATTTGCACTGAAAGTTTTGACTTCACCAATAGATGTTTCTGGTCCTTGCGTGCCACTTGCCCTTTATGAGTACCCTCTTTCGACCCTTCGTTTACAAGATGAAACTTCACCAATAAATACTTTTTTGTTGCCTCTTCTTTAAAAAACCTTTTTCAAAATAGTCGCTATTAAAAAATCGAACCCGGGCCGCCCGCGTGGCAGCTGCAACAATTAGATATGGTACCATTCGGGTCTTGGCAGTGACGTCGCCTAGCAGCTGCGACCTACTGCCACAACCTACTTTGGTTGCTCTGTTACGCCACGGAGTGTGCCTCCCGGCGCGACACACTCGCCTGGATGGGACAGCGCCACAGACCAATCCCTAAGAGCAGTGCCTCGCGACCACGGTGGCGTGGAAGGGTCGCGACTGCCGGGCCGCGGCTTCCAAGGTCGGAATGGTACCTACCTTAGACAAACGACGACGACGACGGCTAGCATCTTAATAGATATGGATGATTAGTAGAAAATGGGTGACCCGGATTCGATTCCCTGTTGATGCAGAACGTTTTATGTTTTTAATTTCCTATATTATTTAGCATCTCTACTAGTCCAGTCAAATAAGAAAAAATAAAAACATTAATCGGTAAAGATCTGAATTTTGGTACACATGTTCATTAGTGTTCCCTATTGGACATACTAAAAGTCCCCGTCAAAATCTGTTGCGCTCGCCATCCTGGAAAAAAGGAGCACTTTTTCAGTTTCTTGCCTATATATCGGCAACAATTATTGATACGGAAAAATAGTTCAGATAAAAAATATAGTTTATTAAATTGCCCATAAAAAAGCATATAGTATATTAAGATACAAGTGTATAATCAAGTCTTTAAAGCACGCGCAACGAGTTTAAGGGCACGACGCAAAGCGGAGTGCCTTTAACGTTGCAAGTGCTTTAAAGACAAATTATACACGTGTATCTTATAGTATTTTTTATTATACCTGCAGTATAATTTAAAAATAGGAAATACAATGAAGTCATATTGACGTTATACTCGAATACATGTCTAATTAAGTGGGCTGGGTGTTCGTAATTTCACGATTGCCATGGAAATGTCACTTGACGTTTGCTTATAAAAATCATCGTCTTTGTGAATTAAACGATTTCCGTTGAAAAAGATAATACACCGTCCATTAAATCGATTGTCGTAAAATCTAAACGAACGTTGGTAGGTGTAAAATTCAAATCCAGTAAAGCCTATTATAAAGAATATGAAAAGTTCTTTCCATGGATGGAATAGGAAGTTACGAATAAAGTCTTAAATGCATCCATAATGCTGGCATATATGAAGGAAATGTCAAAGGTATTTAAATCTTCTATATTTTGGTGCATTCATTCAAAACTTTAAAACAGTGCTGCGATTAAAAAGTAGAACAGATTTGGAAGCATACCCTAAATTACGCGCGTTTGTGAAAGCTTCAACCAAAGGATAGGTACATAAGCCAAAGAAATGTTCTGCATTTACAGAAAGCGACCTAAGAGGATTTTTTATTTCATCCAGCAGATGACAGTTTCAAAAGTCATACTTGAAGTATCGTTACTTAGCAACTTTAAAGCACGTGTGTTTTAAAGGCCCTTTTTCGCACGCATTTGAGTGTTTAAAACGGAGATTGTGATTCAGGTATAATAAAAAACATTTTTTTGTATGTCCAATACTTTAGCTATAATCCGACATCGAATAGGGAATCAAGTATCCTGAGCTCTCGAAACAGTCGCGCAGATATTTTTTTACAACTTTTTACTAATCATAAATTCATTGAAAATTCTACCGGTATTTCTTATATATGCGAAGTCGTCGCACTCAAGCTTGGTATGAGACACGTTTAAAGGTTTCTCATAAAACTCTCTCTCAATAGAGCTTTCATCTTCAATGTGAGCACTGAGTGTGGACTGGGAGCCTTCAGTGCAGTCCGAACAGGGTCAAGGTAATTCTGAAGGTCTGATAACGATGTCGGTTTTAATATCTCTCACTAGCAGGCACGTTATACTTATGCAGATAAGGGCGTTCTTCAGCTTCAGAAATCATTTCGTTGCTCCAACACTTTTACACATTTTCGCTTACCTTTTTGAAAAAAACATGATGTATCATCAAACATTATGTCATTGCTAGAATGCTTTATCGCACGACGATTCTGTTCATTTGTTGGCTCTGTTACAGCTATCGGTGTAGTCATAAAAAAGACGGCCTCCTTCTATAACTACGATACGGGGCCTAAACGCGTTCTGACGTATTCAACGTGAGATTACAGGTAATCTGGAGATACAAAAAAATCTAAATACTCTTTTTTATAGGGAATTTAGTAAACTATATTTTTCATGTAAACTATTTCTTCGTGTCAGTAATAATTGCTGAGATATGGGCAAAAAACTGGAAAAGTGTACCGTTTTTCCAAGATGGCGTCTCGAGCGCAACAGATTTTGACAGGGACTTTTAGTGTGTTCATTAGAAAGTCCCAATCAATGTGTATACAAAAATTCAGATCTTTACCAATTAATGTTTTTATTTGTCCAAAATTGCGCTAATTTGACTGGACTATACATTTCGCCAGACTAATGACGATCGTTGATGTAGGATGCCACACCGACCCACAGGGTTTGTCTGTCCTTAGACCTTCCTAAACCGTTCATCCGATTGCAATGAAACTTTTGGGAATGGTTGGACGTATGCTCGCGATGTTTCTGATTTAGTAAAACACTTCCCTAAATTCCCACAGGAGCGGGAACGGAAAAAAACTGGATTTTACTTTCTACAGCAAAGAGTCTTGGCATTTAGAACGTAGGTTCTTTTAAAGACGAAAGCTCCTCCCGAAATTACCACAGGAGCGAGAAAAATAGATACACGACATTGACTAATAGGCGGTACGAAATCGCCGGGAACGACTATAAAAAATAACAATAGTTCTAATACTGAAGAGTTTTGAATGCACGCAAGAAGTAATCCATCGAATTCACTCGTTCAGCTGTCGGAAAACGCACATTTCGCTTTTCATTCTTCAGCCCTATACCCATCTCACCAAATTCCATGCACTGTAAAGTCAATTAAAAATTAATTGTTATATTGAAATTTCTCCCAGTGCCGCAGACATTCCATTTTATTTTATGCAAAGGGAGTCTACAACCTCTGTAATTCGGTTCGGACGCAAAATACTTCACTTTCAGTTGAAATGAATTTATTTTTTATTTTATATGAATTTCTTGTGAAATTCTAGCCATATTCAGTGCTGAAATTAAATAACTAAACAAGTAATGAAAGGCGTCCATCTAACCTATATTTTTTAAGGTTGGCATTAGCAAAATATCATGTGAAAGAGAAGAAATGCAGCATATGAAGCACATCTCTCACTTCAAAGATTTCCGGAAAGTTATTTCACTTTCGCTTTTCATGAAATACAGCGTGTTTCAAAATGATAGAGGGGTTTCAACATGTTATAATATTTGATAGATGAAACTTACAGCCACAAGTGATATATCAAATGAAAGAGAAACTCAAACAGTTTTTGTTTGTTGGCATCAGTGCGTATGTTTCCGCCGCAATCCGCTAGAAAGCGCTAATGACAGGGCTTGTTTCGCATGGCCTCCACGGTCACCCGACCTAACCCCGTGTGATTTTTATCTTTGGGGGTTTATTAAGGACCGTGTGTATGTGCCTCCACTGCCAGCCGACCTTCCCGATTTAAGAAACAGGATTGAAACAGCTGTTGCAGCAATTACTAATGAGACACTCATCAAAGTTTGGGAAGAACTAGCATACCGTCTTGACGTATGCCAAGTGACGAATGGTGCTCACATTGAACACTTGTAGGCTATAATGTAAAACTGTTTGAGTTTCTCTTTCATTTGATATAACAATTGTGGCTGTAAGTTTGATGTATTAAATATTATAACATGTTAAAACCCCTCTATTCATTTTGAAACACGCTGTATATTTCAGCGTGTAAAACGCGCTTAAAAATTTAAAGAGGAAAATCGCTACGATGGGAAGGACAGGGCCACTAACACTGTTATTTAAGGTGATCAATGGACACCGTCCCCTTGGGCAATCGAACTTGAAACTGGGACACAAAAAAAGGAAGCGATACGCAGAGGAACCTAAAGGCCATCTGGCACGATAATAAATTTATTGTAAAGTTTTTGCAAAGAATTTTTTTCTCTGAAGGGACAAGGATAATATATTTCACAAAAAAAAAAACAAAATTTGTCATATACTTCACACCACTTTTTGTATTCTGTGAGAAAATCGTTCTTCAGTCCGTTAAATTTAAAGCTAACAAACGGCTTCAGGTGTTACAAGCCTTATTTGTTGTACTTAAGCGATTCTGTCTATGGTTGTATATTTTTGTACTGTGTACATAATGCATATAAACCCCGCGACCATGACATTGTGCAAGTTTACGAATAAAATGGTAAATAACCGCCTTCGTTTTTTCCACATAATGCATATCACCTACACCGCACTTTACCCTTGACGCACACGTACCTATGCGCACACCTTGTAACAAAATATGTTATGCATTTTCTCAGGATCTAAGCAATTGCACAAAATTTTATTAGAAAATGCCTATAAGACAATAATGATAAACTTCACAAAAAATTAGTACAAGATTGAAATTCTTTGACTTTCTTTACGGATTCCCATTACAGGCGGAAAAAATCATTCTCATTCAAATATGATGAAGTAGGTATCTTATACCACAGACAACATTCACAGACAACATAATGTTGTCTGTGACTATACGAATTGAGAGACGCTTCATTGCACCGTTTTGACTAAATAAACACTCGTATACCTACACGATTCGGCTGCCTTATTATACACGCTATTAACTTGGATGTGGATATATTATAATGCTTTTTAAATTGCACAGGGGTAGCATTATTCTTTCAAATAAGTAATGAATGTTTTGTGGAATATTTATGCACCATATGGGACACATTTATTACGAATATGTTGTTAATTCAACGTTTTTTGCAACGATTTGTTTTTCGATTTGCCACATGTGCTTTTACCTCAAAAATGGAAATTTCCATTTAATTACGACCTTAACGTTATTTACTTTATGTGCGAGATTCGAATTTTGATTTCAAATACTATGCTTTTTTTGCTTCATTACATAATATATCTCATATTTGAAACTAGCCGAATTTTTTTCACCGTAGGAAAATACATCATCTTTGAACAAAGACGGAAATTTTGGCAATTCGACAAAGATTTTGTTATCCTTACATTAAAGACGCACAACTAAAACCGCAACAGAACTCCCAAATACACTATATAGGGTGTTACATTTGAATTTACTAAAGCGGGTGGGACCAAACAACATTTTTTTTTCAAGTAAACCGGGTATTCACTCATAGTTAATTTTAAAGGCAACGATCATTGAATTTGTCAATGAATAATCAAACAAAATGCTTCAATTGTAAATAACTGAAGCATATTGCTACCAACTGCAACAAAATGTCAGAACTACCGCCATGTTTACTTAGAAAATCTGAATCATCTAATGAACTTTCTTGCCCGGAATCAAATTTTTCAACGTAGGCATGATATTTCTCATCACACGCAACGACCAACCAGGTAATAACTGTCTCAGTATAAGACATAGTGAAGTAAGTAAAAAGAGCGCAGCACTATCCACCAGGGACTCGGACCGGACCGAAAAAGAACCGAAAACCGGACCGAAACCGGTATTTTTTTCTGAACCGAAAACCGAACCGATACCGTTATTCCTTCAGAAATGGAAACGTATTGAGAACCGGAGCCCACATTACATTTTTGGGTTCTTTTCGGTTTTTTTTACGGTTCTTAACAGGTTGTTGGAAGTTGAAGGACGCGCCGGCAACCACGTCTTGAAAATTGCTAAAATATTATTCTATGATTGCCATCGGTGGTTTATAAATTTTTAATAATGTGTCGAAATTGAAGGCATTAAGGGTGGTTTAGCCACTACTTAAAAAAAATAGAAAAGGAGGAGCGAGGTTTTAGAAAATAAAATTTTCTGTTTTTTGGTAATAAATTAAGTGTAAATACATATTTCTATCTTCCTCTTTTATTCCCCTTGTCGTTATAAATTAGCTACACTGACGATACGTCACGTTTTGGTATTCATGACATTTTCTTCAGACCTATTAATTAACAAATCACGTTGTTATAATGAATTTTTTGAATGCCATACTTTCTGAGAAACTAGAACCGAAAATAATCGTTATGGACCGAAAAAAATGCGCAGAACCGAACCGTTATTTCTTTTTAGAACCGAAACCGGACCGGAACCGTTATAAATATTTTCGCTTAAATATAAACAGAACCGGAACAAATATTTCATTTGGGTCCGGGTCCCTGCTATCCACCAGTTCAAAACTTACAGAGCAATCAACGCAACACACGGAGACACTAGCCAAAACTAGGCCAACTATAACAGAAGAAAAAAGACACCTAAAAAACAAGAAGTAGTACAACTCCAGAAGATAGTGCACTTTTTGACAATTTACAAAAACTGTGGCCAAACCAATCCTTTTACTAAACGATGAAGATTTTAAACATTTCACGATAAATGTCAAAAACAGTGACACACCAATTAGAATTGCCTAAGAATACACAACAGATATTTCAGGCCTCATCATAATTGCCGAAATATTACTGTATATACATTCAACGAGAGCCTTAAAGAAAGATGCAAACGACTTTATTAACGGGGATCGAGAAGAACAAATGGCCAAATTTATCTCAACTTTCTAACACCTCATAAGTCATAACTGGAATCAATTGATGTGGACATTGTGGACAACACTGATCGTAAATCTCATTAACACCTAAATACCTAGATAAAAAGTAATAATAATAAATAAACAAAAATCATGGTAATTTTTAAAATAATAACCTTGAGCATGCAAAGCTCTTCAAAATATCAAACGCTATGGCCTTTTGTTAAAAAACTTAACCCCGAACTACTTCTGTTTCGAGAAACCAATGTCACTGCAATGGAAAGCGATACGTCGATACAAGTTACCATTTCCTAGTTAATCCCAAATCTGTTAATTATACCGGAAAATTATGAGTAATAGTATGAACAGATGCAGTATTTTTTTCTCTGAACAAATTTAGACTTTTGCTCTAAAATAATTAGGGGAGCTGGTAATTGACTATAAAGAAATTACCATTGAAATCCCTATGCTGCGTCGCGCTAGGCACCACCCTGTAGGTATACAATATACCGCACAACTATAACATAGCAATTTAAATATTACGAAAGTTAAATGAAGAGATGCAGCAAGTTACACAAAAAAATGAGGGCATAATGATTGGCACGCTTTCACTGTTTTGTCCAAAAATTGCAATCGGATGTTTTCTTCTTTTGAATTTTTATAATCTATAATGGTAGATTTAGCATTGCCAATTTTGTTCGAAATATTTTCCAATTATTAAAACTTGAATAACTTTTATAGATTATTGAAACGGTCAATTACCCAAGTTTCGATGTCTGTCCTATGTAGTGATTACAAATGCGTAAATTTGTCAAGACTTTCAGAAATGAAAGTAATTGTTAATAGAGCTTCGTAATACATTTCGAACGCTTTGACGAACGAAGGGTAAATAATGTAATTAGAAAGAGGACTTTGATTAAGGCGCAATTTCGACAATGTAATTTGCAAATAGAATAATTTTTAGTTCCGAACAAACCTAAGCTCGAGTGGCAATTACAATAAACTATTTGACTCGCTATGTAGAGGAATTATTTCACTTAAGATCATTATTTCACAGGTATCCATTCAGGGTCGACTGTGGCTGGAGTAGTTGGTATAAAAGTTCCAAGATATTGCTTTTTTGGAGATACAGTAAATACGGCATCAAGAATGCAGTCTACGAGTTTGGTGGGTAACTTTAAACCTTTGGGCGCACGAATTCAGTTCTTATTTAACATTTTCGCTTTTCAGGCGGGTCACGTTCACATATCATCAGTTACTAGAGATTTATTACCTCAAGATCGATATGTTGTTACCAGCAGAGGATTTGTGCAAGTGAAGGTAAGGAGTGATACTTAATTTTATGAATAACAGCTCCTCAAAATTATGAGTGGATGAAACGAAAGCGTGATTTTCAAACTGCCTAATTGTTTCGTCCACTGAATTGAAATATGCTGGTTGAGTAATTAATACACTCAAGTATAAGTATAAGTATATAATAGGTATAATACACAATAGAAGTTTATTAGGTTTACTTCGAGTTATACACAAAATAAGTGCAGCATTAGGGCTGTAATTCCTAATGCTTACCCAAGCAAAATCGAAGTAAATTCGGTCGGGGATTATCTTTATCTCGAACACGCGGTAGCTACTGACCGACAGTTCGAAATGATAGTTGATAATATCTATTTGCATCGTTTACAGGCTATTTAGATCACAGATGTTTAAGTTACCAGGAAATACTTATGACAACCTTGGTAATAATAATAAGTGCTTTTAGTTATTTGAAGACTTTTGCATTTTACTTCCTAGTGTAGTAAAAATTTCTTGTATTTCCTTAATTTTAATTCTTAAGAATATTATACTGAAATTTTGTAGTTCCTTGTTACTCCTAAGGGTATACTTCCTTACAATTGGCGGGCGGTTAAGTCTGTTCTAAATGAACAACAGGCGATACTTCCAAGTAGATACAACTTAATCAAACCCTTTTTGGAGGCGCATATACAATCTAAGTTAAACCTTATCGACCACCTTGTACTTCAGGAGAATGGACATTTGTCGCATTTTCCATGTGCCGCCTTTTTTATTACGATCGCCTTGCCTTGCATCGACCGACTTGCACACCTGATAGCTGTACCTGCCGCATCTTTCATCAACCGCCTTTTTCGTATCGACCGCCTGTTCCTTATCAGCCGCCGGTGACCAGCGAACGCCTTGCACATCCGAGAGGAGAAGGGGCACCTGTCGCATCTTCCATGGACCGCCTTTTTCGTATAGTCCGCTCATTCGTATCAATCGCCGATTAGCTTTAACCGCCTTGTACACCTGCATGTAGAATAGCTCTTAATCAAACGAGTTAAAATGTTTTCGATTGGTAAATATCAATTCAATCATTCAGATCAGTTTTATTAATTTCATGATCGTAGTTCGGATCCCGAATATCGTCACGTAACCAAGGTCTCTTTAAACCCATCCTTTAAGTTAGGGCTTCAAATCGTAAAGACCTCGGAAATGTAATTACAGCATCCACCAATATCGAATCGTGATCCATTTAATTCTTATATTTGGGATGTAGTATAAATAAGAATCTGATTATTTCGATTACAAAAGGAGTTTAGAACTTCCCTTACATATAAGAGTTTATATGTGGTTGAAGTGTCATGTTGTAGCAAAGTACTTCAAGTTTCATCCCATACATCCTCTGTAACTTTCACTTTGGTTGGATGTGACTACCAGGGCTCAACCACAGCCTCAGAAATAGGAGGACGATTTGGATGCTTGTTATGAGCAATGCCAATACCACTTCGAACGAAATTCTTATGCCAGGGATAATTTGTAGGCCTACCAGCAGATTCTTGTTGCCGACTTTGTTTTTTCCATCCGAAACACGAAACGAGCACGTTCAGTCCTTGTAAAATCTGTCATTTTAGGTTTATTTGTTACTGTCACTCCGAGTGATGGAATTCAGTACTGCAATAACACGTGAATGAAACTTCCTCTCTTTTCAGAAAAATTTATATGTAAGGGAAGTTGTAAAAGCTATTTTCGACAACCTTGTTAAGTAATTAGTATTAATTGAATGTAAGGGATAAAACTTTCAGACCCGTAGCCAACTAACATATCAGTCCTTAACTTTTGTGGTCCTTCTTTCAAAGTGATCAAATACTAACGTTAATTTAGAAATTCATTACTTAATCGTTTCTAAAATTCATGCTAGGCTACATACAGCTCAATATTGTTTCGTGCAAAAATGTTTGTAGCATTGTATTGTAATGATACGAGATAGCGCCTGAAAATAAAATACTCAACGGAAGAGTGCACGAGCAGCGTCTATTGATCTACCCGGCAAGTATGTTCAGCCGCATACCCACCCTCTCATTAACTTGAATTAAGAGCCAACCTAATTCGATCCTATGTAAATTTACTTGCTATTTCGCTCAGAAACGCTGAAAAAAAATAAAAGCAGCAGGTCGATGTGATAATGTTCAAAATTACTGGTGTTGGCGGTCAGAACTCAATTAACAAAATGCGAAAATTATACATGAAACTGCCCAGCATTTTGCAACATTGACAAAAAAACAAATACTGAATAGGTTTCCACGCAGAGGTTAAAAAATTACATCGAATCAGCTTAAAATATACAAGGTGTTCTATTAAGAAAATCCTCTGTATATTGACTCCGTATAAATGGGACACCAAACATAATTTCTGTAGATGCGCAACCATCTATAGTTGACAATTGCACAAAAGATTTTTTGATATTTTTTACCAAGTAGGAAAGACCGACGCACTGTTGCTGGGCCCTGTACACCACAGCTGACTCGTCCGCCTGTGTTGCTCGCAAATTTGGAGCCCACTGACAATTGACACTGGCAAACCGTTGCATGTCCTGCATGTATTATCTTATCATTTAAAAAACACCATTAATTTTTTACGTTTATTAATGCATAAAGCTTGTGCACAGATTTCAACTCTTAGTGGGCTCCACAATGGCAGGCGAGTCTGCTATCTTAATCAAGTACTATAATACTGGCAACAGTGGACTTAATACACAGCGTAGGTACCCAACCCAACCTAAACCTTTGAGTTTTTTTCCAGTGGTACCAACTGAAATGTCTTAAAAACATATTCATCCAGAGTAACATTTCAGTCGAAATCAGGAACATCATTTGTAACAACCCTGTATATTTTACAATTCCAATTAAAAAGCGACAGTTAAATTTAGTTGTTCATGTTTTAGGGCAAGGGTGACATGGAGACGTTCTGGCTCTTTCCATCTACTCACTAAGACTGTAATCAACGCAGGGTTACTGTGTACTGTCTGTTTTCAAACAACAATGAGTGACGTAAAGTGTAACAGCAAGATATAAGTATAAGTGTCTTTGCAATGGAAGACTAACCACAGCTAAGGTGAATGAGAGGCTCAAAACTATTCCAGTCAATCAGCAGGAGAAATAACAATAACAATAATAAATTCATTAATGTATAAAAAATTGCCCAACAAATGTATAATTTACTGACCCATATTTTTATGTGTAGTATGTTGATAAATGATGAGTGTATATTTTTATATTAACGATTAATTGTTGTAAGTCACAAGAAAAGCGTATCATATGGATATTGAAGTAATGGACTTCATAACTGAGGTTTGTTGTTAATTTAGGTGTATAAGTACTGTGACCACTATCCACTATATATGAAAACCTAATATCAAACCCTTTATGAACGTTATCACTGTTTCCAGATATTTCAATACCTCTAATGAGAAATGCAAGGACTATAATAGACTTGCGGAGTACTAAAAGAAATGTAGGTACTATGGACTCACAAATAAAGCATCTACTTCGTTTTCACAATTTTTTATATCATTCTAGCCTCTTGTGCTAAGTAATTGTTCTTTTTTAGTAGTTTCTGACCTTAGCAAAGAATTTGTATGCAGGTAGGTAATTACCCTTGTTTTCATTTTTGTATATTGCGGCAAATGGAATAGAGGTTTAGCTTGCAAGAGAACTGTGATTCTTCAGTTGTAATAGGAGAAGTATCAACATTTATGGCTTAGACGGCTGTTCACCTATTTTGTGATAAGCATAAGGAATTTGTCATTGTCCCGCTACATGTGACCTTCTTATTCATGGTACTCCCTATTTATATCTCTTTTAGAAGGAAAACCTAGTGTTTGAAGAGAAATTGTTCATTTAACCGGCGACAGATATGTGTAGAGCATTTCCCTTGTGGCAGTGACATGATCTTGCTTTTTTTGGAAAATTGATGAGTTTCGGATGACGCTGCAACAGACAAGCACAATTACTCAGTTTCTAGGGCTCATTTCGCACCTTATTTTATTTTTCTCATCGAACGTTTTTCAAGCGCACGTTAAGCTGAAACCCAATGAGTTATTCACCGAACTAAACTTGTCTCTGGTCAAAAGGAACTAACTCAACATCAAAACAACCAACAAATTCTATTTACTTAGGACCTTTTTTACATCGGTGGTCTCGAGCCGCGTTTTCCGCGGCGATATACACGCTTCGCGCGAATATCTTCGAAAAAGTTCCTATAATTTCGGAACAATTTGTTTTTATATCGCGAGTAAACCAACGCCCGTAATTAACACTCCTAACGATTTACCGGAAATAAACAAACTCATAATTTTTCGCCTCGCTGTTTTATTACATATTTTTCTTAGAATCAATTCTTTTAACCAGTGACCTTTTTTTAAAAGGTTTGTTAATTTTAATGAAAAACTTCCCAGAAATGTGAATCATCGATACGTACTTCTACCCGAATATAATTTGAAATCTACAAAAACTTGACAAATTTAACAAGCTTCTGTTACATACTGTCTTTTACGTAATTAATTTCACATAAAATACATTACAATGATGTTTAATGCACTATTGTGCCAAGGAAAATAATTCTTCAAGTTCTGATGAATTGTTCACGGTACCCAGAACTCTTGCAGAATTTCCCCTCCGTATGTCTAACGTTATGCGTACGAAAAATGCACTTTCAATTAACAATGACATTTTACGTAATCTCAGAAATGGCTTCCATTACTCACATGATTCGCCTTGAAAGCTTGGCTTCGCGATCTAGACATTTCCGCGCTTATGTTACGTAGGTTTGCCTCGAAGGTCTGGCTAAGAATTCAAAACGCGTTCGAAAAATGCAGCGCGCGACCTTCGAAAGTTTGAGTAACAGTCTCTTTCTCCCACCCGACTTTTACGTAAGTACCTACTCGCAAAATCCAAAATATGAAACGACCCCAACGAAACCGAAGCATTCACACAATAGCAGAAATACTATCCCTCATCATCCGTCACAGCGGTTTTTAGAACTGGCAACACTGTAGTGTTTCGACTCTGCTCTGCTTGAACACACGTTTCTTATTTTAACGCGCTTTATTTTCACGAATATTAGTTCTGTTCTCTTTCATTCCGTAACGGTACACGTAATAGTAGTATGAAACAAGTTTTGAATCAGCATATGCATGATCAAAGCGCATTTTTGGTAATACAGGTCAGTATTTCATTAACACGATCTCACGAGTACTTAATCGAGCTCAAAATAGACTAGAGCCTGCAAATTTAGCATATAACAGGAAGATTTTAATGAAAACTTGAAGTTTCTAGGTATTGTAAATGCTGAGATTTCAGCCAGCCAGCCAGCCATAACGAATATAAATAGCGCATTTTCTTTTCAAAAATCCGCTTAAAAGTATCGGGAATCTTTGTACATCGAGAGACAAGTTTGTTCCGTGAAGGTGCAGACAAGCTACCGATGCTGACCGCAATTCCTTTTTTGATCTGAAAACAGAGAAGTGATCTACGTCTGCCGAATTCATCCCAATAGTCCTTGAACTAAATAAGCCTTTGGTACTGCCCATTCTATTGCGTTTAATTGGGAACGTTTTCTGTCAATGTTTCCGAAAATTGACGCTCTATAAATAACAAAATTGGATTTACGTGCATTAGACTTAAAAATAACAGTAGGTATGCGCATTAGTGGAAGAATACCTTTTCCAAAAATGTGTTGCTTGCGTTTACGATTTCATTTATAAGGTTTCGGTTTTGTTTTAGCGGACTGACGTTATAACGAGGAAGTTTTGTCGCGAAAAGTGTTCTCTCCTATCCTATGTGAACAAGCTTTAATGTCTTCCAAAATTGACTTTCAACTACTGTACTGGTTCACAACTACAACTTATCAACTGGCAAGTTATTTCCAAAATTGAATAGCTACCTTAGTATATAATTGTTGTAATAAATGCAGCTCTTTGCACTTCTGTACGAACACTTATACCCATGTAATAAAAATCGATCATGTATAGGTACATAAACGTCTATTTTGGAAGTTATTAGAGCTATTATTGATTGTGCATTTTGGTTTATTATTTGTCTATCTGATATGAAACGCAGACCAAACGGTTACTTAGATAAATAATATTATGTGATTGTATTTCGTGTCGCCTTAATTTGTTACTATATTAATTAGCAGATCTATTTTAGGTTACGATTAACCTTAGTTGATTTAATCGCAAGTATACGTGGCTATAAAAGTTGCAAATAATAGCATTAGCATCTCGATTAAACCAAATACCTGCAATGATAGTGTTGAGAAACGTACTCGACTTTGTTCTTTTCGACTGTTATCCAAACAGGCGCGACTGCCATCAGAAAAAATGTATGGAATGCTTTTACAAAGTATTCAATGCTATGTGCAGGTAATGTTTGTAATTTTTTTAATTTCTGTTACTTATCCTACAAGTAGGAGGAATATGGAGAGGATATATGGAAAGAGGTACTAAAAAGCGCGAAATGTAAGAGTACCACATTTAACACGCATCAAGTCTACCCCGAGGATACTATGAGTAAGTTGGCAAATGCTCTTGCAAGAATTACTTCTACTGATGTTGACAAAGTTATGGAATTTTTTGGAACATGTTTTGTACGATATTTTAGCAATTTTGGGTAGGTAATCGTCACACTGTAGTTTTTTAAAGCTAGTTGTAGATATGACGTTCCAATTCGTTCTACCGGAAGATATTTCACGGATTTCTTACAAAATGTAGATAACATCCATACCCAATTCCGTTTCACTTATCCCAAAATGAAAAGCCCATCCATCTATTTAACTGGTATCGATGAGAATGGTTGCGATATGATTTACAGAAGTGATCGAACTGGATTTATTCCCTATATAAAAGGTGCTGAAAAATTGGTGGTACTTTTAAAAGTTTGTTAGTTTTATGTGTCGAGTAGGGCTTTTGAAACGCATTGGACAAGATTTTTATGGCATTACAAGTCTTGAGGTGAAAGTGATGGAAAATCAGTTCGGAAGTAGACATCGAAACACTGGTGTAAAGTTCAGATTAAATTTTAACAACGAAGACTACGCAAGTATCAATGATCTGTCTAATAATAATTCATATAAATATACAAGGTGTTTCGAAATTCGCGCACACGGACTGGGATGGTGTTATACAACGAAAATTGAATAAAAAGTTCCTCTACCAGTTTTTGATCAGACCGGCACTTTTTTTTTCGACGTGCTGAAGTTTGTTTACTAGCAGACGAATTATAGTTTATTTTGAATCTTCTTTTGTTTTTAAAAATTATTTTATTATTAAGTTTAACCAGTGGCGCAGCGTAGAGGGGGCGGAGTGTCTTAAAACCGCGGTAGCTCGAAAAATAGCGGTCTGATGGAAAACTGGTAGAGGAACTTTTTGTTCAGTTTTTGTCGTATAACACCATCCCATAGTCCATGTGCGCGAATTTCGAAACACCCTGTATAAGTCGGCTTATGTGTAACACAAATTACGTATTAAATCTAGTTGTTCTGTCTATTCCGTTAATATACCTACTCATGGCCGTTTGTATCGACAAATTTAAGCTTTAAGTTACGCTAAAGCTAAGCTCTACTTAAATTTGTCGGTGCAAACGGCCATCAGTTGTTTAAAAGAGACATATTTTTTCGTGTACAGATACAAGCTGAGCACATAAGGAGTCATCCACATAAAGTTGGAAGGTTACGGTCCGTTCCATGCTTTCAATTACTAGAACTCTTTCCGTTTGGGATAATGATCAATAATACAATGGACATAATGGGTGTCGGTGAAAAGATCGTACAGATTTCGGCTGTAGAATACAGCTTACTGGGACAACCAATTCATGATCACTTCGCTCTCCGGAGACCCAAAGGGGTAGTATTTGCTTGGAATAATGTACGTGTACAATGCTTGATATTGAAGTACACAATTCCATTTTAGATATTGAATCTACGGAATGTTATGTTTGAACTCGAGCTAAACATAGAGAAAATAAAAGAAGAATATGACGATAACGAGACTTCTCCCAAAGGTGAAGGGAAAACTATATTACTTAAGGGACAGATGAAGCATATCGAAGATATTCAAGCAGTTATTTTTCTCTGTAGTCCTGTGTAAGTTGGAAAACTATTTTGTTCAATCCTGTCTTTGAAAACAAGTGTTTCTTACTTAAATACCAAATGTGAAAGAGTTTATTTTACCCAAACTGGCAGGCCGTATTCTTCTGCGGATGCGCAAAAGTAACTTTGTTGGGCCGATCTTACTGAAATTTTAACATTAGCATCCTTTACTAAAGGCAAATCGATCGATTATCTCAAACATATCAAAAGCTTCTTTCACGCATGTGCAAAAGTAAATTTCTTATTTTTTGTCAAATTTTTGTGAAATTTTAAGTTTTAACGGTAAATCATCGATTAGATACTTCGCTCAATAAAAGACAAAGCGAAGTAAATACAATAAAAGGAAAGTGCTGGGTCTCGACAGATGCTACCGTGCGGAAAAGTTAAGTTTTGAAAAAACACATTTTTTGATATTGATATTGAAATTGATTAAAGAACAACTTCAAATACTCATTTAAAAGCTTGAAACTGGAATCCAAACCGTTTTTACGGCGGATTACAGCATGAACACCAAAATAGCCGTACTTAAGACGACTATACACCGAAGGTAATGGGATTTTGCAAATAACGTCTAAATGCTTTGAAAGAATTTACCGTCATTTCTAATTCATAGTCTATCATGGAAAGTGTTTATTCTGACCATTCCATGCTATAGTAATTTATTTTAGAGATTTTAGTCCATAAAACAACAACTTCAAGGCAGTATTTTATTATTATTAATGGAAAAAAGAAATTTTCCTTTCAAGCGACTGTGAGGTGACGCCGCCTAACGAAGGTAAACAAAAGTAAGTGCTAAGTGGTCGTCATTGGGGATAGAAAGAGAAACAGTGGCGCATGGTTTTCTTGCGTGGGAGCGTGATGATGTGGTTAGAGCTGCATATCAATTAGTCACGTGCTATAGGTATGGCGCTCTTAACGTAAAATTAACATAAGTAATCACATACCAGACAAATAAAGCCTATAATGCTGGCTTAAAGGGATTGAATATAACAATATAAATATAACTGATTGATTTAACTAATAGAATTTGAAAATTGACATGTCGATCATCATACAAGAATATGGCGACGACAAAAATAAACTCTTAAAATTAATTGAACATACACTAATTGATTAATAAATTAATTAAATGATTAATTAATTATTTGGATAAATTATAGATACGCCACTGGTTATGAAAAATTTCTGCTTTCTGCGGAAGGGCTAACTTTAGTGAAAATATACCAACTCCATTTTTTGTAGGAAATTTTCGTCGCTTTACTTTTGTTCACCACTTATTTTCTCGTAAAATGCACAGTTTTGGAGATATCGGCGGAAAACCGCTTTTGACGGCCGTCTTGGCAAGTTTCGAATTGTGCAATTTGTGAATTTTAGTTCTACGCACTCAAGCATACAAAATTTCAGTACTTCCCAAGTTATTTCCAGGTAAAAATCCTCAATGACTGACCTATTGGCAGAACTTTCCAAAAATCGAAATAATTTCCAAACGGTATGTTTTGCTTGCAAACTTTTTACGGCACAAAGATGTACTGTTGAAAATGCCCTTCTTCCACCGCTTCAGTAGAACGCAGTTTTTCGAAGTTGAAATTAATAAAGACATACAATATAACAATAAACAAGTGAGAATCGACTGAACGGACTTGCCCTATTATTTATTCATAGTGATTTGACGCTGCAGATTAGTAATGATGATGTTATAGACCATTTTGCCGGATGCGGAGACGCTAAGGCGGTTTCAACTAGTTTTATAGCAGAAGCAGTTAATATTCAACAAAATATGTACCTACAGACATAAAAAATAAATGGTTTACTGACAAATGAAAATTTACATACTTCGGTCTTAATTCTCGAGTTTCAGCCCCTCCCGAAAAAAAATCCTGCGTACGCTACTGGCACAAACCGGCACAAGCAAAGCACAAACCAATCCACCTAGTCGCGACATTTGTGCCGTCAATGTTCTGCTAACTTCACTGACCCCAAAAACTAGCAGAAGCTTAAAAAATAATTATCTACACTATTTTTTTTAAATGTTTATATTATTAGTAACAGGATTGAACAACACGCTATACTATTAATAGGTACATTTTTTTCACGTTTAGTATTAACGACATTGATGAGTTGACCGATCGCGGATTATATTTGAGCGATTTAAATCAACACGGTTTAGGTAAAGAAATGGCAATGGCTGGTTGGCAACATAATTCCAAGTTAGCGTAATTGGATAATCACCTCCTATGGTTTTCAAAAAATTAATTATAGGTTAGAGATGCTATTTGACGAGGCAGAAGGGAAATCGCAGGATTTAGAAAATAACTATGATCTTTTGGATTCGTGGAAGAAAAGAAGTGACGAGCTGTTATATTCAATGATTCCAAAGTCAGTTGCTGATAGAATGCGTGGTGAAGATTGCATTGAGATGTGTGAGGTACGTGACTGACCAAATAAGAGGGCAGATAGATGTGTCTCGGAAAGTAATAGAGAAAGTAATTTCGGATTTAAATAAGAGAAAATATAATGCAATCACTACTAGTGGAAGTAATTTGGTTTCCAAAGTTTTATTTTCTCTAAAGTGTTCAAGAAGTTGAAAGAATTTAACGCATTTTTAATGATTATATGTCTAACCGTTCTCTCTCCATTTACATTACACGATAGACAAAAATACATAGCAATATGTTATCAAATTTTTTTTACAATGCTCGAAAGTACCGCTGTCAGGCGTACCATTCGATTCAGAATCTCATTCTTGTACCTTCTCTTACCGGTGATAGTATGCAAATAAAAAATTTACTCCTAAATCTCTCTTTATTACATTTGGATGTTACTTGCTATTTCCGTTTAATCACCCCGCACTAATGCAGTCAAATTCTAGACCTTTGAAAGTATAACAGTGTTGTTTTGTGAGATACTCGGCTTGCATTCGTCAACGGTGGAGGAGGCATTATCTATCGTCGATTGTTTAAATGCGGTTTTTACTTGTTTCGACGCACTCATGGACAAATTTCAAGTGTACAAAGTGGAAACCGTTGGTTACATTTACATGGTTGCTGGAGGTGCCCCAGAAAGAACCGACGCGGCCGTTCACGCACAAAGGGTGGCTAGTGTGGCCGACGCAATGATAAGTGAAGTCAAAAAATTGAAAATTAAGGGCTTAACTGAAGTTGGAGTCAGAATTGGTACCAATATAATAGTTTTGTTAATAGTGCGTTTAATAATGCATGAAAATACTCCTTAGGAATCCATTCGGGAACTGCAGTAGCGGGTGTGGTAGGATTAAAAACTCCAAGATATTGTTTTTTTGGGGATACTATCAATATTGCGTCAAGAATGCAATCAACAAGTACAGTAAGTACGAGGGCGAAGTGTGAGTGTTTTCAGGGTAATGTTTACAATTTTAGAATGGAAATATTAATATTTCGATGGTTACCAAAACCTTGCTGCCATCATATCAATATAAGTTTCAAACTCGTGGCCTAGTTAAAGTAAAGGTAGGTATGCAACATATATTTAATTCATCATGGATAAATTCTTCCTTTAAGGGGAAGGGAGAAATGGAAACCTTTTTCTTAACTAAGAGGTACTAATACAACTAAATCATTGCGTTCAGGTGTCAGTCGATGTCGATGTCAGGCGATGCACCATAATTTAGTTCAGTTGACACTTATGGCCAACATTAATGTTAGCGATACGAACCTTCGGAGAAGGGCGTGCCCTGCTTTGCAGACACTTACGAATCCCTTGCTAACAGCAACCTCATGAGTTTATTTTGACTAACAGAACTTTGTGCTCAGTGTAGTGTAATAAATACATCATGTATCTTATTTCTTTATGATATGAGTGATAACAGTCCAACAAGCATTGGTCCTTCGAATAGCCTAATACTGGCAGCGACATTATCTTAACTTAATTAATCTACTTTATATAATCAAGAAGTCCAGTGCGAAGTAAACAACATCGATACTCGTATTCCAGCAGTAAGTGGGTTCAAACAATTCCTGTTTATCTTATTGACTCCTTTGCATCTCAACTTCACGTTGTAATGTCAATATTGATATTTTCAAAATTTTCTTTGGCTATAATTTTGTGCTGCTAATTTAAAATTTTGTGCTTATCACATTAATGGTAATTCAATTTTTTCTGATGACAGTCCAACTTCACACTGTAGTGTCAACATTGAAATTCTGAAAAATTTCTTTTACTATAATGTTGTGCTCATTTTGTGCTCATTTGTCCTGATAATTAAGAATCTTGTGCTCTTCACGTCAATCAGCGATTCAATTTTTTCGTACGACACTCGAACCTCCACGATAGGGTTTATCACGTTACATTGATATTTTTTAGCTTCGACTAGCTTAAGGTAGGTGCGGCTACTGCGATTTGACCATGTCAAAATTTCATCAAATGTCGACATTTTACATCACTTTAAGCAACTTTTAAAGAATAACTTTTGTCCTCTGTATGTACGTCTGTACGATTGTACGTTGGCAATTTTCCGAACTAGCGGATCGACGGATTTTGTTCAAATTTTGAGTATACGGTCACCACAACACCCACAAAACACCCGCCCAGCTAGGTCACAACAAATCTAAATTGAAACTTAGAATTTTGTAATCTCTCTTCGTACACATCCGGTATCTGCTAGAAGAAAAATCCTCATATTGACTTAAAATTTGTCAATTTGACAGATCTGATGGCCTCGATCAACTTCCGAAAATTCCAAAAAATCAAACACACAACGAAACAAAAAGAAAATCTTATAAAGCTCGTTTGGACATATTACCCCGCACGCAAGCGGGCGAGGAATAAAATAAGAAATTACTACAGTTTTTTTCTTAACAATCCAAATAATCTGGCCGTACAAGATTATTCACATAAGGCGCACTTAACTCACACACAAACGCTGACAGGTTCCTTACTTTTCGGTGGCCGTTCGAGCGGTAGAAACATTTAACCTTTAATAAGAAGAAAACCTTAGCAAAAGGCCACGCTGTACTATACTGCCCGCTTTTAGCTCAACGAAATTTTTTCCGTAATCGGAAAACCCGCGTTAAACATCTCGCACAACTTTGGTGAACTTACTTCTGCACAGGTTTATTATAAAAAATGACGAACTACGTCTTCAACAAAACAAATAGGGCTGCATTTGTGTTTATGAACTTACAACATTGGTCTCAACTACAATGGAATTCTGTGATAAAATGGTTAAGTACCTAATTATGTGTTGGCTGAACGTAATGACGCCTGTGAATGCGATATGTACTTGCACAGTTTGCAACCTGTTTTATTTCAATAAATTTGCTATTCTTAAAATGTTTTCTATTTTTTTGTCAAATGGTAGAACCTAGTTTTTAGCATTTCTTTCAACTGATGTTGAAAGGTGCTAATGGCCACTTTATTCGTCCGTCCGATACCTTAACTACTCTTATATTTTTCATGATATTTAGTTCGTTCTTTTTGCATTCGGTAGCTCCATGGTACCTCAACCAAGAAAATTCTTCTTGATTAATGTGCGCATGCGCAGACTGCGCAATTTCAGTTTGCTTATTTATTAATAGGTACATTTTACTGAAAATTTTACCGCAAATTCTTATAGTAAAAATCAATTGTGCCCATGTCACAATTTTTATCTATAGATATTTTATGAAATTTTAATCACAGATGTTTCTATTAAAGGCAAACATCACATATTATAAAAATTAAATATGCGCATTCGCGAACTGTGCAATACCAATAAAATCGCATAATGTAAAAATCGCAATGCCAACAACCTTATTTATGACGACATTTCTTTGACATTTTAGCTTCTAGTAGACAAAAACATAGCTCACATAGCTATCTATGGACTATGGAAGTACTGATCATTGCATTCAAATGCGCTAAAGATCTTCGCCTTAAGCGCAAACCCCTTTGTTTTGTGTCTTCGCACTCGTTTTTGCATTACTCTCCATCCAGAAGTGTATTTTCCATAAAGTTAGTTGCGCGCCCAGAGCTGCAAATTTTAGGTGCGGCAAATTTTGGAGGAAAAATTTCGCTGTCTAGAAGCTGCAGATACCGAACTGGCTGAAATCTATTTATCCTAAATCAATGTATTTCAACTGCACAAGTCACTTGCAAATGAGTTTTATCCCAAAACAGGAGTTTTTACTTTAAACGCGCAGTGAAGGTAGAGGGTACTTGTATATATTCGTCTTGATGCCTATAATTAAGGCATTAAAACAATTGATATTCCAAATTTATATTCTAATTAAGTAATTTAGATTTTTACTCTAATCGTTCAGTGAGAAGTAGTAAAGAGGCGCAACTATAACGTAAAATTGCGATACATATTCCCTTCTCATTCTCCGAAGCTTCCCTCATTCCACTGAAACATCTCGGAATAAGCATTACTAGTTATTCGAGGTGCGCATCTTTATAATTCTCACTCAACGCTCGCTCTAATTTAAATTTGTATTAATATATCTATGTTAAATTTAGTACGCTCACGCCATCTAGATATTTCCTTTGTAAACCCGTTTACCTTAGATGTTATTTATGTACTAGATTTGTTATTACATTAGTTCTTTAGTCCGCTGCTAGAGGTCGTGATCTTATTTTCTTTTCTGCATTCACCTTCCCTGTACTTCTTCTCTTGGGAAACGATCTGGTCTGCATATTGGTTGCGTGCAAGTTTTTCTTGATACGGACGATCCGTGGTCGAAGCAAATCTTGCTTTGGCTAGTGTAAAGTCTTTGTGACTGATTATGATTCTTTTATTGAGTATTACGGTTTTGATTTATCTGATTAGTGTCAGACGTTAAACATTGCTACCGCCGCAATATTTATTTGCTGCGCTATTCATTATCCCTCTTGTTTTTTTGTGTGTTGTTATCTGTTACAGATAAAACCGAAAATCGCCTTTCTGATCTCGGAAAGGTCGTTACAAGCTGTGGTTCAAAAGGTAATATTTTTATTTTTCGGCGACTCCTTAATATGACGTTACATACTGGTTTTCGATACAATCGAATTGTAATTACTACAATAGTCATTTAACCATTATCGTTTCGTTGTTTTCTGCGGAAACCTGTTTTTCCAGACTATACGAGTAGATCCCCGTTTTGCTAAAAATTGATTTAAATTCAAACCTTGACATTTCAGATCTAAATATTACAATATCCTATTTGTAATACTTTGAGATCATACCCTCAATTATCAACACCAAAACCAGGATCTCTTAATCTGCCTTGTTTCCCCTTTAGGTGAATATTCTCTTTTTTCCTTTGAAATTTACTAGAGACTAAGTGGCGCCTATCCGGGTTACTGTTACGACATTTCCCTTCTGCTTTATTTTTGCTAGTGTACAAGAACACCATTATTCACCCCGACCCGCCTCTACTTTGCTTGAGCTCATCTCGTGATAATTTTGTCACGTTTGCTCGCTTGGCTCAAAGTAAACGTAACAAGTAACATAACAAAAATCGCATACGATTTTCAGTATGGAATTTTTAACACCAAGCTCGTATTCGGAAACATGATTTTTAATTCCGCTTATATTCAATAGCACTGATCCTTGAACTCGTAGAAATCGATTGGCAAAGGTTTGAAATCGCAGAATTTTTGAAAACATTGATATTGACACACCAGCGTTGAAGTTGTAGTGTCATCAGAAAAAGTTGAATTAGGTCCTCAACTCCTCATTAACCTGATGAGCACAAATTTTAAATTAGCAGCACAAAATGAGCCCAAATTTATTAGATACCTGGAACTTAATTCCTTTCAAGTCGACATTACAACTTACAACAAACCCAGAGGAAGCACTAACTGTAATTGAATCAAGTGGTGTTACAGCTGATAATTAATTGCATGGCAACTTTATAGGAAAGATAAGAAAACAAACATCTTAATCAAAATCACATCATAGCCCTTATAAATATGCAATCGGTTCAAAAGGATTCCGTTGCTTGATTACTTCTCTGAGGCAATTACTAAATCACGTCAATACAAATCTTAAAGCATTAAAAGCCTTAGCAGTATTAAAGATTGTCTTCGGTATTGTGTTTTGTACATTAATTTTTTTAGCTAAATAGCAGTTCTCAAGATATAATAATTAAACATCATATTTGAGTGTTGAATACAAGAAAAGTGCAAAACAAAAGCAAAAAATGATTTCATGTAGAATATAACGAGCACTTTGGCGTCGGCTAATTCTCAGTGGACAGGGACAATATGGGCGCCACGCCGTTTGGGAGTGAAACGATGGAGCAACGGCGAATCTCCGAGGTGACCAATAAATATACAATTAGCCAGAAGACACTTCAGTAGGTAAGTACACACATAATTATATTTTTAATATAAACACTTAATTTACGATATCAATTAATACAATAAATAATCACACAACTAACAAACTATCACGCAGCGCAATCATTCTCCATACACTCGCACCGCTCACCCTTACACGCTAGGTACTGATGGAAGACAAGATGGTACTGTTCCCGGTAAGTAAGGCGGCACTCCCAGGTGGTTTTGGAGCCCTTAGGTGCCGTGCCGCAGTAGGTATGGACGAGACGGCCAGGTGATCAGAGTGAATCTCGACGTCGGTGTCAGTAGCGATGGTAAGCCACTTTCCAACCAGGTTTTAATAATCTGCCGTAAACCGGAGTCTAAATGAGACTCCGTACACCAACAGATATTAACTTAATCTGAACCAATCCTCCTCAGTAGGGAACCAAAACTGCCCTTTTTAATAAAAAGATTTACGGCTATCCGTCTGTTCGTATATGTACAATTGCTAAATTACACCCAAAATTTACCGTGCTTGTATAACTCAGGTTCGCGTAAAAGTGACCGCACTGCGTGCGTGCATTTTGTGATAAGCAAGTATGCGATTAGCTCCGATGTTTTCTTGCTCACATACAGGCTGTTCCTCAAGACTCCTTGTTCAATAAAAATTAATAACGTCACAAGAATATACTTTAGTGGCTATTAGTCTAGGCGATAGAGACAGTAAAATTGGCAAACTGGACATTTTGAGGTGGAAAAGAAAAAATTGGTGGAATACGTTCAGTTAGGTGTCAGAAACAACATATTAAAAATCCCACCCCAAGACCCTGTGCTAAAGGCTCCAGCCACCCCACCACCCCCCCCAAAAACCGTGTTTTCGTCCTTTTTGGCTGATATCTCGCGATCGATGAGGTCTAGATGAAATATTTTTAGATGAAAATATTTCTCCTGAAATTTCATACAAGGTAGATACTCAGAAGTTAGCTAAGGTCTACCTCTTAGCCTATAAAATTCATAAAAGAGGTTAAAATCATCAATTTTCGTGACTTTTTGCGGTTTTTTGCAAATATATCGCGCCCTTTAGGGCTAGATGAAATATTTTTAGCTGAAAATGCTCCTCGTGAAATTTCTTACAAGGTAGATGCTCAGAAGTTAGCCTAGGTGTACCTCTTAGCCTAGGAAATCCCATAAAAGGAGGCGAAAATCATCAATTTTCGTGTTTTTTTTGCGGTTTTTTTGCAAATATATCGCGCCCTTCAGGGCTACATGAAATATGTTTAGCTGAAAATGCTTTTCGTGCAATTTCACCTTCAACGTTCATGTATGAGGAAATATTCATTGTAAAACAAAGTATTTCCATGTACCATGTACCTATTCACGTAAAACAGTATTTTCATATCAAAATGTTCACACATTCATTTATATCTCAACGTAATCATTCTCCTCTGCGGATTCCACTTCTTCAGGCTCTTCGACATCCTCTAGTGGTAGTGGGTCGTCTGAAATTACCGACTCGTAGTTCTCCTCGTCTTCCGCTTTACCTGCATGGGTATGGGTACCCTGAAGAGACAACATGGCATTTAGGCACGATGTTCCATGACACTGGACGCAGAGTTCGTTACACTTCAGGACTACAAGAAGATTTATGTCAATAAAAATTTTATAATTAAGTATACGAATATAATATTCTCTCGTGTGTCCTAATCTCGGTCCTAATTGTCTGGTGGAGAAGGTTTACCTGATTTTCTGAAACTGCAAGCAGTCATGCAACCACGTTCATAGCCACATGAAATAAGTATGAGGAGACTTTCCGGGGCTGGATCCGAAGTCGTTGTGATAGGCGTCAGGACAGTCTCCTCAAACTTATTTCATGTGGCTATGAACGTGGTTGCATGACTGCTTGCAGTTTCAGAAAATCAGGTAAACCTTCTCCACCAGACAATTAGGACACACGAGAGAATATTATATTTGTATACTTAATTATAAGATTTTTATTGACATAAGGCTTCTTGTTGTAGGTCTGAAGTGTAACGAACTCTGCGTCCAGTGTCATGGAACATCGTGTCTAAATGCCACGTCGTCTCTTCAGGGTACCCATGCAGGTAAAGCGGAAGACGAAAATTGATGATTTTCTCCTCCTTTTATGGGATTTCCTAGGCTAAGAGGTACACGTAGGCTAACTTCTGAGCATCTACCTTGTAAGAAATTTCACGAGGAGCATTTTCAGCTAAAAATATTTCATCTAGCCCTAAAGGTTGCGATATATTTGCAAAAAACCGCAAAAAGCTACGAAAATTGATGATTTTGATCTCTTTTACGAATTTTCTAGGCTAAGAGGTAGACCTTGGCTAACTTCTGAGTATCTACCTTGTGTGAAATTTCAGGAGAAATATTTTCAGCTAAAAATATTTCATCAACACCTCATAGATCGCGAGATATCAGCCAAAAAGTACGAAAACATGGTTTTTGGGGGATGCTGGGGTGGCTGGAGCCTTTAGCACAGGGTCTGGGGGGTGGGATTTTTAATATGTTGTTTCTGACACCTAACTGAACATATTCCACCAATTTCTTCTTAACCACCCCAAAATGTCCAGTTAGATGTCTTTATCGCCTAGACTATATGATCTAGGACTATAGTTTTTGGTATTAATTACTTAACGGTAAGCTGATGTGCATATTGATTTAATCTTACGGCAAACTGTGATGATAGGTGAACTTAACCCTGTCTCAATTTAAGGAATTAGGTAAGTACTTGCAGTAGGTATACTGCAAATACTGTAATTTGCAATGTATTTATGTTACGATTAGCCCCATTGGGTATTTTAAATGATAGCTGCACGGTACAAGTGATTCAAAATAATTATTACGTATCTACGTGATATTTTATTAAATAATAATTACATTCAGCCATTGCAAAATAGATTCAAGTTGTATGTACTTAAATAGACAATAAATAAATAAATAGCACCAAAATCAATAAAACGCAAATTAAATTAAAAAAAGGGTAATAAGACTAGTAAAAGACAAAATGAAAAAATCTGGCAAAAATGACATTAACTGCTTAGGAACAGTAACAGGCACCTTTTGTGTTTCCTTGTATCCAACTCAAAAATCGATTAACCCTAGTGTAAACTCCTGGATAGTTGGGTTTTGCACAACTCTCTCCCCATGAAACGATTCCTGAAATGGATTTACGTGATCATTACAAAACGGAGTAAATAAAACTTATAAAATTACTCACCAACTACAAAATGATGAGTTCCGTTTGCCACATGCATTGGACCACCGCTATCTCCCTATAATGAAGTTTTTAGTAATTTACTCGCCATAACAGTATTTCGAAGCAACCTGACAAGAATCCTTTGCACCTTGGGGGTATCCGGCGCATACCATATTTTCTGTTACCCTCTTTCCGTAACCGGTTCTTTGACAGTCATCATGAGATAGAATAGGAACTCGCACTTCTCGCAGTTTGTTGGAGACGCTTCCTTGCGCCGCTGTTGCTCCCCACCCTGTCACAATACCTGGACAAACATTTAAGTTCTACTGTCTTTTACTAGAAAGCCAAACCTGTGTGCCCCGAATAACTCTTTCCTGCCAACGGTAGGCAAACTGGTTTAAGAATTCCATCAAAGCTAATGGGATGCTCCAGTTCTAGTAGCGCGATGTCATTATTGTATGATGCGCCTATTCCGTACGCTCCGTGATTGATGATCTTAGTGATGCGCCTAAAGAACGTTTTAGTTTCCTGAGAAGTTGATCGATCATGATCGAGAAATACGGCCAGAAGTCTTTCTTTGGAGATCCTTTAAAATGGCTAATTAAGATATATTTAGAGCAAACTATCAGTCGTACCCATTAACACAATGCCCCGCCGTTAATACGAATTTGTTGTTAATCACAGATCCTCCGCAGTAAAACCGATTATTGTTTAATAATACCACCATCCAAGGATACTCGTTTACTTGAGTCTCTACGCCGCCCACAATTCTGTTGTGCTTGTATGTTAAACCGCAAGCTATAGAGAATTGGTGAAAACAGCACTGAATGACTGAAGCTATACTTACCGCATTTGGGACACCTAACATTTTCGTTTGCTATTCCTACATTATTGGCGCTTCCATAATTCGGCTTATCATTAGGTTTAATGCCAAGTGCATTTAAAACCCAATCGACAACACCTCCTGTACCGCCGTCGACGATAGTGGGCTGTGGTGGTGAAACACCCGGAGGATATGTAGTGGAGCTTGGTTGACCTACGGGTTTCGTGTCAGTTATAGTCTGCTCTTCATTATAAATTGGGAGTTTTGATGGCCCAAGAGGAAATGGGGTCGTTTTGTAAGTACGACGCGGACGTTTGGTAGTGGCTTTACTAGGCAATTTGGACCAACCTGGAGGTACTCCTGGTTCGAACTCGACCTGCTCTGTTGTTGGTTTTGCGTAGCTGTTCGAATTGCCATTTAAGTTATTCGTAATAGGATCCACGCCTACTTTGGGTTCCGATATCGGATCATCCTAAAACAATAAAACTGACACGAACGCACACATTAAAATGGTTCGTACTGTACCTCGGCTCTTGACAGTACACTATTGACTAGCACGAATAAAAATATACACATGCGCCCTTTCATTATTGAAATCTTGGGTGATGGTACCGCGACACGTTTAAGAAATGTTCTGATCACTGCGAAGATGAGCAGCGAAGTTAATACGATATTTATAAGTAGGTAAATAGGTGGTTAAGAACGGGAATGAAGACTTATTAACTTGCTTGGATCGTATCAAACAAATCACGTGAGAGTTCGTCGAAATGAATGTCACCTTAATTTACTCAATTAATTAGATTTGCTAAAATTAGCAAAGTCTGCATTTATGTATCTCCTCGGAACGACTTTCTCTTTGAGACCGCGTCAAAAACGAATTAAATGTAACGGGATATCGAACGGGGAGATTAAAAATGGACACGAATAATTACAAACCTAATTAACAGCGAACAGTTTACACCATTTTTTAAGACTGTCGTTTTATACTTGGAGTAGGTGTTTGTCAGTGGCAATCTTTGCTTCCGTATTTTGAAAATCGGGTCAAGTAGGTATAGTTAATTAAATATTCTGCAAAATGGAATAATTTATGTTTATTGATATCGCGGGATTTTCTTCCTGATTAACTGGGTTGTTAATGCAAGACCTGCAAAACTTTTATGTTTTGGATCCGGTTTAATAGCGGGATATTTTTTATTTAATTCTCTGGAAATTTATAACGTTGGTTATCTTATATTCATACTGTGTCTTCACCCAAATTTGGCAAATGCGATGCATGTTTATGGTTTATAATGTACCTACGCGACATTCTCACGTTTTGTCGTCTACTACTCCAACACATAGGTCATGTAAAAGTATTTAACAATATGCTTGAATATAGTCCTAGTCCCTTATGGAAACGAGTTTGCTAATCAAACTTTGGGGGTATGTAATGCCAATTGAAATGACTACTGCGCGTTAAAATTTAAGAGAAGATGAAGATTATCTACTGTATCGATATACCTGCAACTATAAGACTCGTGACCATACATGGCACAAATGGTATCGAATCGTAGAGGATGCCATGATATAATGTATTTTTTTGTATCATGGAGGATGCGTTGAAACTGCATTTCAAAATGAAAGCAAGTCGCTTGACATGTACCATCAGGAACCAGTATGTATCCGCAGTGCCAGACGATTAATCCCTTAGGATTCAAAATGCGCCGGTTTTCCATTATTGTGATTTCTGCACATGCACATTCCCCTTGCGGTTAATTTCTTTCTAGATAATTTAGAAAACATGCTATTTAGAGAAATAGAACTGAATAACACGATATAGTGCCATTTTCGACTATTTCAAAGTAAATTTTCGAAAATTGCTCGCACACCTCAATACAGTGACTTTATAAAGACAGTGTGGTCATACAATGGTAATTGTAGTTGGGAGATCCGCCACCACAGAAATTAACCATTAGGAAACCAAGGTGATAAAGTAATAGATAATTAAGTTTTAGCTACTGAACCAAATTCAGGGGATTGCTTTGTGGATAATGGGGTTACTAAGCATGCAACTAGTCGCCATGATTGGTACTGTACGTTTGATGAGTTTAAAGATCCGCGCACAATTAAAGCAGCTGGAGAAGAACGTTTGATTGCTATTGCTATTGCATATTTTATAGGAAGATGTTTGGTACGTTCCGAACATTTCGAGAAATTTATTTTCACCATTGGCTGCGCATGATAATAGTTATTTACATAACAAGTCATGAAAGTGGTCGTTTACGTGACGCGGAGGCTTATTGAAAAGTACGAGAACGCGCAGCGTCCGAGTAACTCTTTAATGCCTCCAGGTGGACTCACTTTCATGACACATTATGTATAAAATTTTACCTGAAACCGCAACATGTAGATAACTTTTCCAAATTAAATTATTCATATGTGTGAAATTTTGATACCTAATCACGCATGCTAAAATCACTTTATTTAATTGTTTCCATAGAGATTTCAAAATAATTAAAACAATCAGTCATTTTTAATGCAGTTTATGCTTTGTACTTTTCAACTATACAGTCTTTATTACTAGGTACATAAGCAGGTATCAGTGAAGAAGAGTACCTAGGCGAGACGTTGTTATAATGTAGCCCGGCCGCCGTAGTGCAATATTCGCTCCCCACAAAATCAAGAAAGAGGTACGAAAAGGCGTACAAACTTTTTAATGACTGGCGCAAAACTAAAGGAATAATTACTTCCACACATATTCCATTAATTGTTGGTATTTAAAAACCATTATCCTTTGTGTAGGTATATTAATTGATTATAATGCAGACTATGTGGATATTTTTAAATATTAATCATCCAATCCTTGATTGAATAACTTATTCAATGAACGATCTCATTGTTATTTTGCATGTACTAGGACTGTAATGGGAGTCAGGCAAAAATATTACAGTACTAGTCAGGTAAAGATCAACTTTCTAATGTCAAAATAGCCCTGAAATTTAGATTTTCTTGACGGTTTCAGGAAAAAATGTAAACAGTGAATTCAGATCCACCGTAACCACTTGCTCGTTTTTGGTAAACCGCATCACAGTGTTGAGTGGTATTCGTGAGAAGTTTGGATCATTGTATAAGGCACATATTAATCCAATTTTGTCTCAGGACAGGGCATCAGTAAAAATAGTAGAGGCAAACGATCAAATACAGTTATACCACGAAAGGTGGGGTCATGGTGATAAGTGTTACGTCAAGAAAAAGCTTGAACAACAGTTTAATCCTAAAGTTTAAGTTTGATGATACAATTTGTGAACCGTGCGTATGCTTATGGTAAGCCTCACAGCACCGCATACACCACAATAAAATGGCGGTATAGTGAAGAGAAAACAGAACAATTGTCGAGATGGCACGTACGAGTACATTCGGTATTTTAATTCTGATGTCCAGTTTCATGACGCGTTTTGGGCTGAGTTAATTACAACAGCGATCTACATTCTGAATAGGACTGGAAAGTCGTCAGAAGATGACTTTAGTCCACATGAAATTTGGTAGGTATAAGAAGAAACCCGGGATAAAACACCTTCGAATAACCAGTTCGACCTGCTATATCCATGTTCCAGATCAGAGAAGACGAAAAATGGATAGAAAAGCTGAAAAAGGTTACTTAGTTGGCTATGATGGAGATGAACGATATCGCGTGTACGTTCCAGAGCAGAAACGCGTTGTTTTATCTCGAGATGTAACATTTAATGAAGTATCTCAAGAATGCGAAGAAAAAAGAGAAAGTATTCTTCAGGAGTAGATTGTCACAAGAAATGAAAAAACGTTGCGTAATCGAGAAATTATCCCCGCTCCAAAGCATGGTACAATAAGACTAGATAACTATGCCTATAACTGAACGCAGATGACGTTTTTATCCCAAAGACGTCACAAGAATCACCGCCAAGTTTACAAATGGCATACGCTTCATACTCGAATTAGAAGTGTCATTGCAATTAGATACTCAATTAGTGTGTAATGATGATGGATAAACGATTTTGGTGGCAATCCTCGGAAGTGTCATGTGTAATAGATATGCTCTAGTGTTTCTTAATATTGGTTACAAAATTACATTGGCCACTCGCATTTTCTAGTCATGTGTGCACAGGTGCACTTTAAAATTAGATATAGGTAATATTGATTGCGTAATCACAAAGACCACAGCTAAGTGAATTGTAAGCAACTGTATTTTAAAGGGAGAAGTATTTTGGTTGCGGAATCACACAACCTTTAAAGTTTTTTTTATTGCCGGTAGAGGTCGCTCATCGCTTATTTGAAAACGCGCATATAATCTTTACTTTTTTTACTTACATATTTTATGTATCTTTAAATATTTGTATTGATAACATGCAGTAATTGATACTTTGTAAGTTTAATGTAAGAAACTTAACGCAGTTGACATAGATTCAACAAATCTTATCACATCTGTAAAAGGCATACACTTTTATTAAATGGTAGGACTACACAAACCCCATTACTTTATTGAGTGGTAGAGCCCAGTTACACAGATACAATCAAAAGAAAGGTATTGATTACAATAATACTTTCAGTCCAGTTGCAAAGTTGCAAACTATTCGTTTGATACTTGGTATTGCTGCAACAGAGAAAATGCATTTGGCCCAATTTGATGTTTCAACTGCATTTTTATATGGAGAGCTGGAAGAAAAGATCTTTATGAAGCAACCAGATGGATACGATGATGGGTCTGGTAGAGTCTGCTTACTCAAGAGGAGTTTATATGGACTAAAGCAGTCGCCTAGATGTTGGAATCATCGTATTGGAAAATATTTACAAAAATTACGGTTTAGAGCCAGTAAAGAAAGTAAAGAAGAACCATGTATGTTTGTTAAAGAGAAAAATGGTGCCAAGATAGTTTTAGCATTATATGCAGATGATGGTCTTATTATTGCTACTCGTAAAGAAGATCTTGAAGAATTTATCGACCAACTTAGAACCGAGTTCGAGATTACCTCAAATGAAGCAACCTATTTCTTGGATCTTGAAATTGAAAAATCGCAGAATGGAAATATCAAGATTAGCCAGAAGTCGTATGCTCAGAAACTACTTGAGCGTTTCAATTTTGTTGAATGCAAGTCGGTTTCTACACCAATACTTTCAAGTTCAGGAAGTTCGAATTCAGGGAAAGCTTCCGAAAAAGAAGCCACATTTCCATACCGACAAGTCGTTTGTGCCACCATGCACCTTATGTTAGGCTCGAGACCAGATTTAGCCTTGCAATGGTGGGTTTTTATCCTGTTCATTAGAAAACTCTACTGTTAACGATGTCACGAGAGCTAAAAGAGTCCTTCGGTATATAGATGGAACTATATTGATCTTGGTATAGTATATCATAGTAACGCTAAGAAAGGAGTGTTCGAATACAGCGATTTTGATTTCGGGGGCTGTACTAAAACAGGTCGTACAACATCAGGAGTACTGGTCAAGTATGCCAATGGAGCGGTTTATGGATTAGTCAGCGACAAAGTTCCGTAGCAGAGTCTACAGCTGAAGCAGAAATCGTAGCTGCAAGTGAAGCCGCAAAGGAAGTGATTTGGTTTACACGACTTTTACAAGAAATTACATTTTTAAAGGAAATTCCAGTTATCCAGATTGACAACGCAGCAGTCGTTAGACTTTCTGAGAATGCCGAAAATCATCGCAGAACCAAGCACATTCAGAGGAATCACTTCTATATTCGTGAGCACGTTAGTGAGGGTACATTGGTCGTAGAAAAGGTTTCATCTGAACATCCGGTATCTGACATTATGACCAAGCCTCTTGCTCAAGCAAAATTACATAATTATCCTTTCTGTAAAGATGGGACTCGTATAATTATTAATCTTTATCAAACAAGGGAGAGTGTTAAAATCATTTGAAGTTAGTGTTAGATAAAAATAATAGGCAATGATTCACACATTTACCTTATTCCGAATATTTCCGAATATACATACATAAAGCAGTATTTATGATCCTATTTACATGTGAAATAAAAGTGCATTTCTAACCGCGATTAATACTTTATGTTTCTAAGTTCCTTTTGCTTCCTCGTGGTTAAATAAAATACCAACTTGGGTTCAAATAAATGAAGCAATTATAAATTTCTTCCAATCCTAAGATACACCGAGATTCCTACGCTCAAGGTGACATGCATACCTAAATTTAGATTCCACCTTCTTTTAAATTTGAATATAGGGAAACTCTGTTACACTTAGCATTATGTTGAATGCTACAAGGCGAATATTGGATTACAATTCCCTCTCAGCTCCGTTCCTCCTTGTTGAACTCACCACTGTACACCAGCAAAGACCCCAGTGGAGCCGGAATCAGGTATCTCAGTACGTAAAACCTATATTTCGACACTGTTAACAAATATGCTTCGTAAGGGTTGTATGCAGTGCAATATTTATTCTCGCAAACATAATATAAAAAGTAATAAAAGTTTTAACGTTTTGTTAGCTACACAGCTTCATCAACATGTTGGTATCTCAAAAACCTCCCTGCAATGGTTTTAGGGTAGTCCTTGAATCGCTTTTTAACTACTCGCTTTCCTACCATGTGTTAAAAACAGGTTGTGAGATACGTAATACTCCTTTTCGCCATTCGCACCCGTCACTGTATCAAGTAGATCCACATGGTCACTAATAAATTTCTTTTGCATATGTTTTGGGATGTAGTCATGATACGGACTTAGAGAAACAAAATATCCTGAAAATTGCTTTACGTTATCAATAATCCAATTATATTATTCCTCACCTTCCGAGTCTTCTCTAGTCTTATGAGGTAAGCCAACTTCTTCCATTTTGCAGTAACTATTTTCAAATCCAATTTCGTTCAATATGCTACGGAGTTCTTTTTCAGGATCATTTGACTTTTGAAACGGTGGAGGATTATATTTGGCCTTGGAGATGTAAGGGACATACTCTGCATTCTTAGAAATTTCTTCATATATATCAACTACTTTGCTCTTAGCTACGTATATGGAAAGAAAGCCTCCGTTAGGTTTTAACATTTTTAAGATATTGGAATATAACTTTCTGTAATAACAAACCTAATTAAAAATTCATTTTGAAAATTAATTAAACCTTTGATCCGGTATCCAATGGAATGCCATAAAGGAGACTATGTAATCGAAGCGTTCTACGAACTCTTCGGGCAGAGATCCAGCTACATCGACCTCCTGAAACCTAATCCGTTCGTTTCCATAAGTTTTTTGTGCAAAATCTATCATTGATGCAGAAATATCAACACCGATAATTGTGTTAATCTCTTTATCCACATAAGGTAGAATAACGTCATGTGTAGTTTCACCCGGGCCGCACCCGATGTCCAGTATAAACTTGTCACTTGTGCCATTGGTACCATGTCGAATAAGAGGAAAATAATTTTCCATCACATTTTGGTAATAGTCGAAAATAGCAGGACTTGCATGTTTTGAATATAGTGCCGGTTTATTCATCTTGCCCTGAAATCACAATGAATTACTACTGGAATATACCTTAAAAATTGCACAGATCATATGAAAACCAATATAGATATAGATAGACAATGTATTTCTTATGGCACTAATTTAGAAATTGGATCTTAGCAACCAATGCGTTCCAAAATTTAGAAATTTGGGCACTTATTTTGTTGCAATCTCTGAATTAAACACGAGCGCGCATTGAAACGGTAGGTTTACAAAATAAAACTTTATTTTATAGCAGATGTTAAATTGACATTTTAGTAGGTTTGAATGAGTATAGGCTGTACCGTATGCAGTAATACTAAATTAAATTCAAATCTTTATATAAGTAAAGCCATATCATTGTGCATTGCAATGACATCTGTCATTTTATTATGAATGAGAAGCGGAGCATAATATAGAATGAAGTTCAGAGCAAAATTCAATATTGTCCCCATGGAAACGACGGGAGAAAATAAGCTCACAATTTGACGTCTAAATTAAATACCTACAGAATTTTCAGAAATTTAATAATACTTTATATGGCTTATGCTATACAATAAAGTTTTGTATTATACACGACGATAAAAAGACACTAACCATCTCGTTAACCGTCTTTTACTCGATGGTTAAAATATTTCTTTACCGTCTTTTATATAAAATTACTGTTATTCATATAAAAAAGGGTAGATTTTAATACATTCCTTACTGTCACGTAAATGGTCGAGGTATCTCTTTTTCAAAACGCACATATACACTTCACGTACATTTATTGAACCGTTTCCCAGTTTGCCATTAACCTTTTTTCTTCCTTTTCAACATCTGTTGATAAATACTCTAGTTGTCTAAATTCTCTAATTGTTTGAAGTGGTCCACTTAAACGGACGAATATGACTCTACTCTACTTCTTTACAAAGTCTTTACTCAAGATTAAGTCGATTAAACCTCTCCAAATAACTCTTTTGACCAAATAAAATTGCAATTTTCCTTCCATCTTCACCCACTTCAGGCCATTAGAAAACTTAAGCTACTCAAATGTCAGTTCTAAGTTGAAATTCGATCATTTTTTCATACTTCTGAAAATCACTACAAAAGTACATTTCCTAATCTGCCCCCATTATTCATCAATCATTGTTTTTGGCATACAAATGGCAAGTCTAAATTATCTAATCATTTCAATTTGGAAAAAGGGCATGGTAAAAAAACATGGCCATACGATTGCGATTCCCTAATAGAATTCAACCGTTGAGTGAGTTCCTTCACCCAACCATTGAATATCCACCCAACGATTCCACCCCAACCGCTTATTCAACTTAGGAATCTTACCAGACAGTGTATTCCTTACTGTTATCGATCACTTTTAACACATTTATGGGATTTTTGTATGGAAATACATTTATAGAAGCGAAAATTTATGTAATCATTATGAAATAGTTTACTCAAAATAAATGATTACACTATCAGAACGCATTCCAATCAAAATTTAAAGAATATGGGTCCAACTATCGCTTCATAATCGCTAATTTTTTTGATTAATAACTTCCGTACATTGCGCTTTTAGAATACCTATCGCACCATACGAATTCTTGAAACGTTAATTTCTAGTAAGGCAAACTAACACTTACGTAGGTACTAAAATTTCAAATTTGTTGAACTTACGATTATTCAAAATATAAAAGAGAAATTCCCTAAAAATCATGGTTTTCGCTCAATAAATCAGCTTTGGCAAGATCAAATCGCATAAAAAAATTCATGGTAGGTACATATAAATCCAGATCAGGCGCACATTTCATAAAAATTGTGTTACGGAAAAAAAACAATTTCGTTAAAAGAATTCAATTTTATTGTTTGTACTTCAGTTTAGCTATATTTTAAAAAACAAAACCGTTATTCAACTATAAAAAAGGTGTAATACTAGTAATGTAAAGGGTAGTAGAAACAGTAGGTATTAATTGTAATTCTGTAAAACCATTTGTGTGTTGTTTTCAAAAGGTTAAATTTCTTATCGAAATGAGGACATTGAAATATA